GCGCAGGCGCTACTCACCACTTGCTATGACGTGCACTGACCACCAGGGGGCAGATGCTCAATGCAGGAACCGCCCCCTAGTGGCCAGTGTGCTCCCACAGAGGGAGAGCTGCTCAGCCAGAAGCCGAGCTGGGCTCACAGCTGGCGAGTGTGCAGTGGCAGTGGCGAGAGCCTCTCCTGCCTCCGTGGCAGTGCTAAGGATTTCTGACTCCTGCCTTAGGCCGGCTCCGTGTCAGTCAGACATCCTCCGAGGGGTCCCGGACTATGAGAGGGTGCAGGCCGGACTGAGAGACCCCCCTCCCCACCGCCCTAGTGCACAAATTTTGTGCACCAGGCCTCTAGTTCTTGTATAATTTTTCATTGAATATCTATGCAATTGCTGGATATTCCAAAAAACAGATAAAATTTCATGCTACCTGAAAACATGCTTAGGCTTCTCTCCTCCATCTAATGACTGTGGAGGTATAAATTTTAGGGGTTCAAAACATTGGGTACTCTGGTAAAAGAGTGAGAATAAGGTAGGGGAAAAAGAGAAAGGAAGAAATGGAGGTATAGAGAGCTCAGTTGCTATTTGCTGCTGGTCTTCATCCACTCTTGCCCCACATAGAAAGTAATCTTCTCAGATCCTATTTGGGGTATTGAGACCAGCATTGATTATTAGTCAGACTAAACAGGTGTCTAAGATACCAGCAAAGCAGTGTCACCAAAAATATGTGAAAGAAAATCAGAACATTTGGGGAGGAGGCTATTTTTATCTCAGCATATTTATAAATGTTATATCATTTCAGAAAAGTGAAAAGTTATTTCATACTTTAGCATTGTTTTGGTGATTGCTGGTGGTGGGAAAGGTTATAGCACACGATAATATTTTTATAGCAGACTTGCTCCTTCCAAAGATCAAATGTGAAAAAATGGCTATCTTCAAAAGACTGAGGGAATGTACTCCTAAGAGGCAGTTGCTGATATTCAGGACAATTAGAGTACCGACCTTTCCCCCTCCCTCACACCCCGCCCCCCGACCCAACACACACCTTCCGGGCCAGAAGCTCAGAATTCAGAATCAATCTCTCTCTCTCTCTCTCTCTCTCTCTCTCTCTCTCTCTCTCTCTCCCTCTCTCTCCTCCCTCTTCCAGTTTTTTGCTTTTCTCCCATGAGAGCTAACTCTAAGAGTGCACAGAGCAAAACATGCATTTTCCTTGATAATCTTGATTAGGGATTTGTGATACTAGAGAGGGCAAAGTTTAAGGACAACAGAAACCTTGGACAAAATCATTTTCCTTTTTATCAAGAAAATGAGAGAGGATGGGGCAGGTGGAGGAGAGCAGAGGGGGGATAAATGGTGATGGAGACTTGACTTGGGGTGGTGAACACACAATACAGTGTATAGACAGATGATGTGTTGTGGAATTGTGCATCTGAAAACTGTATACTTTTGTTAACCAGTGTCACCCCAATACATTCAATGAGAAGGAAAAGAAAATGGAAGGCTTGCTGATCTCTGAAATCTCCCGCTTAGCCCCAAGATCAACATTGGCAGGTTTACCCGCTCCCCACAGCGTTGTTATGCTCACCAAAAAGCATTCGCGATAGGACGAATGGTGTAGTGTCAGATCCATGTCCCCCAACTCTTTCCATTTTCACCAAGAGGCAACCCTTGGTAAACAGTTTATGTATTTTTCCAGCTATTTTCTCTGTAGAGACATTATCTCTCTTGAACACACAAACGGGGCCTTTTCATCTCATACGTATGGGGGAACCTCTAGAACAGTGGTTCTCAACCTTCCTAATGCCGCGACCCTTTAATACAGTTCCTCATGTTGTGGTGACCCCCAATTTCATTGTTACAAATTGAACATAATTAAAGCATAATGATTAATCACAAAAACAATATGTAATTATATATGTGTTTTCCGATGGTCTTAGGCGATCCCTGTGAAAGGGTCGTATGACCCCCCAAGGGGTCGCGACCCACAGGTTGAGAGCCGCTGCTCTAGAAGTTCTTTTACTAAGCGTTTTTTTTCTGGACCTATGTCTCCCGATGCCTTCGCCTCATTTGCAGACACTACTGCAGATGCCCGGCCCTCTGCATCTTAGCCTCCGTTACTCCCGAGTGGTCCCAAACCTCGGTGGTTGCCACAGCAACATACATTGCACCACTGTCCCAGAGCGGGCGGTCCTTTCCCTTGACAAGTTCCTCAGCCCGCCGGCCAATCATGAGCGCGGGTACGGCCGCCTCCTCTCCGCTTCGCAAGTCGATTGGCCAAAGCTTCCGGGATTGAGCCCGCAACTCGCGCCAAGGCCGGGCGCGCAGTGATGACGCGGCCGGCGGCGCGGTGCCTGGGAGACGGGGAGGGCTTCCGGGGTCGCGGGTCGGACCACT